GCTGGCAGAGTATGTTGTTCATGGGGTTTTGGTTTGGATTTGGGTATTTTTTTGGCTGTGTGGATTTTAAAGTTTCAGTTCATAAATCAATGAAATTCACTAGAACAATTTGAGTCACATTTTTACATGTTTTCATGTGCTCATCAACATGAGCTCTCTAACTTCTACAACACATACTACTCATTTCTGTGATAAACTTGTGCTATCTACAAATAATTTTTTTCTTTTCAACTATTTTCTAATTCCCCTTTAACAGAGTGAAAAAAATGAGTTGAGCACTTGCACTTAGATTGTCCAAGCCATAACTAAATTAGTATACTCAGTGGGGAAGGAGAAGAGGAAAGGAGTGCAGAAAGCCTTATACGTAGTTTGATCAAATCTGCTGTATTCGCGTTAATCAGAATAGCAGTCGATCTTACTGTACAAGCAGCGGGGTCACACTCTTGCTTTCATGTACCTTGCAATGCTGTCATTAGATATGAGATCTAATAAATGCAACTTTTTTGCCTTTTAATTTTTTTCTTGTCTCGTATTATTTTTGCACTTTCATTGATCTCATGCAGAATTAGGATCATGGTTACTGAATAAATGGTAAATTGCAGCAGTGGGATTATTCAATGTTATCAGCGAAAACAATTGAAATGAGACTGAAGAATGGAAAATTTTTCTTATCAGTGTATATAGTTTGATTTCTGTTATGTAAATAGCAGACGATGTTGTGTAAACTAATTTTCAAGGTTATGGATACCCTTTTCATTTTTGATCTGCTGTGTTATGATTTGTTCTTTTTTTAGGCAGCTGATCTTGCTTCTAGAGCTATATAGTGCCAGAGATGTCTATGACTATTTGCGACCTATTGCCCTCAGCCTCTGTGCAGATAAGGTTTCCTCTGTTCGATGGATTTCCTACAAGCTGGTATGAGCCAAGAAAGAAATTTTAACGTAAAATAATCTAAATTAATCCACTATCTCAGACTTCTAATTCACGGTCATGAGCTGTTCTGTTTGTATTTATGTATTGATAACTTAACATTTCTTATAGGTTAGTGAAATGATAAAGAAGCTGCATATGGCTTCAACATCAACTTTTGTGGTAGACCTCATGACTGAGCTTGTTGAAAAATTCTGTAAATGCCCAAAGTGGTCCGGTCGGCAAACATTTGTCTTTATCTGCCAGGTAAGAGCCTTTATTAATGTTTTTGTTTGGGAGAGAGTGCGCAGCTAATTTAAGGAATTCATCTGTATTCTTCTGAATAGCTCATAGAGATCATTGCAGAGAATCTTTCCTCTGATTGAGGGGAGTACAAGAGTTTTGCCAACAATTCAAGACTTTCTGTTCAGCACCGGCTGTGTAGGTGAGATATCAGGAGATGTTACAGAAATGGGGCTTTCTTCCCTACCCAGGGGAGTTCAGAAGATTACTTAGTTCCACAGTCACTCTTGCTTCTAAATTCCCATGTTGCATACTGCTAATGCTCAGCACACAAGCATTGTCTGTTCAGAGAATCAAAGTATGTTGTTGAGTATAAAACAACAACAACAACAACAAAAGGCAGAAAATTAGTCTGACACACAGGATACCTGAGTGGGAATAACCTTTAGCCTCATGGTGTTCAACACGCTAGGCACTAGCCACATGTGGCTATTTGGCCAGTTGAGTGTGGCTAGTTCTATAGTGGCTACTGCTTCAGAACTGGTAGGACCCCCTGGCTTTTGCCACTTGTTTGTTCCATGGACTGGTATGAAGTGAACACCCTCTAGTGGTGAGTATATGGTGCTAGCAGCTGCTTACCATTTACTGATGGATCTATTCAGGCAGAAGGGACAAATAGATGCCATTGCCTACATGCCCAGCTAACATAGGTCATTTGAAGCTGGCAGATCTCTGTGAGGCAAGCCCAATGGAATCTCATTGGCCCTCTCCGGTTACCCAGTGAATTTTGCCAGGAGAGACTACCACCTGGGTCTTAATTCTCTACTGTTTTGTGTTTTACTCGACTAAATATTGTGCTTTTGTTGTTCAGTAGAGGTGAGATTACATATTTGGATAAGTCTTTAAAATATGGTGCTTGAAATAAGCAATCCTTAGAAGGAAAACTGCAGTATAACATTACCCTGTTCTTACCACTGCATCTGATTCTAGCAGTCTAAATTAATAAGAATTTTTAAATTATTTTGAAGACCCACTCAGTTACAAAATGCTTCTATTACTGTAAGTAAACATGAAAAAGTTACCAACGTTACTGTAAAGTAACTCTGACTGATTTCTAATGTTCTCTTTTTGAACCTGAATTTCCTTAGACCTGTATTTTGCTTTAGAAGGCCTCAGCTCCTGCTGGGAAGTACAGTGCCCTATAAAGCAGTATCAATGTAAATAATTTTATGCTCTGTAGATGGAAAGTGCTATATGAATGCTAAATATTTTTATTAGTTGATTATTTCTGAATTGTAGGATCCATGAACTGTCATTTTGTCTGTATTTGTTTTTAGTTCCCTCTTTACGGAGAGAAACCTAATGCAGTTGCCTCATTCTCTTTGACAGACTATCATCGAAGATGACTGCCTTCCAATGGACCAATTTGCTATGCACCTGCTGCCTCATTTACTACACTTGGCATCCGATAGGGTTCCAAATGTTAGAGTACTTCTTGCAAAGACATTAAGGCAAAACCTGTTAGAGAAAGGTTGGTGGTACTGAAGTTCAGAATATCTTGTTTAATAGGTGATGAATGTAAAATATAACAGGTACCTGGTTAGCTCAGTTGGCAGAGCATCAGGCTATTAATCTGAGTGCCTAGGATTTATCTGGGCACATGGTTGTGAGCAGTGCATCTTTTGTGACAGTATGCACCGGTACAAAGTACCGGCACCTTTTTATGGGAGCACTCACGCCATGTTGCTTTCCCCCCGCACAGCCCCCAGCCTGACTGACTCCTCCTGTGGGAACAGCAAGATGAAAAATTTGCTTTTCACTTATGTGCATGAGTATGTTGACATGATATAGTAAGAAGGGTGGGAGAGGCATTTTTCAAATTTATTTTCCTCAAGAAATGAGTACCGGCGCACTGGTTTTGAGGGTTCCAGTGGCACATTTGGTTAGCACACAGTACTTATAGAGCAGTACTCAGGCTGAGATTGTGTGCTCAAACTGCACATGAAGCATTGATTTCTAGGGAGTTTGTGGAATCTCCATCACTGGAGATATTTAAGAGCAGGTTAGACAGACACCTGTTAGGGAGGATCTTGATGGTGCTAAGTCCTGCCATGAGGGCAGGGGACTAGACTTGATGACCTCTCGAGTCTTCCAGTTCTGTGATCCTATAAGGAATGCTTAACATGTCTCCTTTGCGAGTTAGTTCGCTGTAGCCAAGTGGGGAAAGGAGCACCAATGAGTAGCCACTTATGCCATTGTACTCTCCCGAACCTTACCGCTAGGGGTGTTAAGACTGCCTGGACTGACCCTTGAGGCTCTGATAATATCTGCAAACCTGTTGACAGCATCATAACTTCAGAAACTATTTTGTAATGTTGGAGAAATGGATGAATTCTTTTTTTCCTCACTCTGAGCTCATTTTCCTTTATCATTTTTCCCTAAATGGGCAAGTTTCAGGAAATTAAGGACCCAGATTGCTCACCCTGCATACTGGTGTGTTGTGTGTGAGTACACAGCCGTCCTGTCAATAGCATGGTTTAGAGGGGCCGATCTAGGCCCTGTGCTGTTGTGGGGGTCCATGGCAACCACCTCAAGAGTCCTGTGGGCAGGTCCTGAGGGGCCCAAGGCTGCCTGGAGGATTACCTGGGGAGTCCGACAAGGGGTGGCAGCAGGGGTCAGGGCCTTTTACACTCATGGTGGGAGCTGGAGTGACCCGGCAGCCTGTTCTGGTGCCTGTCCTCCAGCCAGCTGAGCTCTGCTTTCTGCTGCCTTGAAGTGGAGTGTAGAGAGCTTGGGACATGGGCAGCAGAGCGGAGTAGGCTGTTGCGTTATTCTAGCTCCTGCCGCTGTGTTAAGTGTGAGAGGCCAACCCTTGCTACCACCCTACGCCAAGCCCCCTAGTACTCCCCTGACTCATGTCACTTGGGGGAAGAGCTTCTGCCAAGGGGTGCAGTTGGTGTGGGACCCTTCGGCATGGTCTTGATTAAGTCTAAAAACGGATGCTCTATGTAATAAAGGCTGGGGACCAATAAAACAGCCTTCACTAACTAACTCTCTCTCACCTCTGTGGGAGAGGAGAGGTGATTAGTGCTGTTCAGTTTTCCTTTTGGAAGTGAGGGGAGAGTCTTTCCAACATTTCAGCAAGGGAACTGCTACTGTCAAACTGTAGACTTCCCTTAAGGAATGCATCCCAGTGCACAGCAGTTGAGAAAAGCTAGTGATGTTAGGATGTTAAGAATAGGATGGGAAATAATACTGGAAATATTATGCCATTATCTAAATCAGTGGTATTCCCTCACCTGGAATATTGTGTTCAGCTCTAGTTACCTTCATTTCGAAAAGATATAACAGAAATAAGAGCCCTTAGGTAGATGGAGAAGCAGGTATACATTTTAGTATGTGGAAATTGAAAATACTAGGATAGCTAGAGAAGACAGCTAGGAAAGGACATAATTATATAAAATAATAAACACTACAGAGGAGACTGTTTCAGTATTCTTATTTAACATTTATCAATAGAAGAACAAGAAGACATGAAATCAACTAAAAGGCATTAAAAATACTTAATTAAACTGTGGAACTCAAACTCTTGGGGCAGAGAGCCTTGCTTTAGTCAAAAACGATATTTACAGGGTGCTTTATCATTCATTGACATGAGGATCCCCATTGACACTGTACAAATGTAGAACAGAAACAGTCCCCGTCTCTCAGATCTTCTAATCGATGTATAAAATGAGAAACAATGGGTGGATTATTAAATTTAGATTTAAAAAGTATATTCACAGACTGATATAGAAAGGGAGGGTTTTTTATACAATTATATCATTTTTTTTTAAACTGACACATTGGGGTTTCTTGCATACTGTTTATTCGTATTACCATTTTTATTATGTGGTAGCATCTGTCAGTAGAATGGAATAATATGGCATTTTATTTGTATAGCTTTCCACTGGAAATAGAAACACATTGATTTGGGGACTCATGTTCTTAGCAGCAGTTTTTCTCTTTCTACATGTTATCTGCCAGTTATTAGATTGAAGGAATTGGGTCTTGGATTCTAACACCATGAGTACAACTATATTATTCTTAAGTCTTTGAACAAATTTTAAGTTAGTTTGAGGTTATATTTAAATGACTATATTATTTGTCTGCTTGCAAGGATTGCATGTGACGGTAATTAGAGTAGATGTTGCCCTAATATTTCATGTCATTGAATTGAAGTAACATTTACCTTCCTATAGCATAAGAACTAAACTAAAAATACAGGCAGTCCCCGGGTTACATACAAGATAGGTACTGTAGGTTTGTTCTTAAGTTGAATTTGTATGTAAGTCGGAACTGGTACATATTGTAGGGGAAACTCTAGCCAAACATTTCTCCACAGCTCAGTTTTATTCTCCCACACCTCACTTCCCTCAGTCCTTTATTCTCAAGCTGAGGTGTCTGCTGAGAAAAGCCGCTCCGCGTCTCCCTGGTCTGCTGGGGGAAGCAGCTAGTGCGGGGTTGCCTCACACTGTTTGTAAGTAGGGATCCGATGTAAGTCGGATCCATGTAACCCGGGGACTGCCTGTACCCAGAAACTCTGATTTGTTAATACAGAATTTCAGTCTAATCAGTAGCCTTTCCATATTAAAACAGAACTCTGTTTGTCCTTGGTGTAGATGCGTGCATGGTTTTTAATATAATGCTATAGCGTAGTAGCTGAGATTTGCACAAAAATCTATTATCCTCATTTTTCATATATATATCCTGCGTTCTCTGTTATTTACAGAATATTTTCTGAATTCTGCCAGCTCTCATCAAGAAGCTGTGGAACAAATAATTGTGGCCCTTCAAATGGATGATGACAGTGATGTCAAATATTTTGCAAGCATACACCCTGCCAGTACCAAAATTGCAGATGATGCCATGAGCACTGCTTCATCGACTTATTAAAAGAAGTTCCTGAATGTTACTATAATTTTAATAAAAAACAAACAAAACACAAACTATCCTCAAATGCTCCTGAAATGGATGGTTTAGGACAAACTCTTCTGAAAGAGAGATCTCTTGCCAGACTTAACTACGGGTGAATGTTATCTAAACCTGATACCAGGGATTTTAAGAGTCAAGAAAAAGTAAACGTTACCTATCTCATCTTGACTTAGAAAAACATTGCTCAGAGGATTATATTTGCCACTGAAGCCTTAAATCTTCTGTCTTCCTGAACACATGAAACTTGAATTGGCAGAGCATGTTCAATGTATAAGGGATGTAATTTCCTGAGACCTGCATTATTTCTCCTGAGGAGTTAACTTAGCAAGTTTTTTTTCCTGAGCAACCGATAGTTGAAATTCTTACAGACAGAGGCAGATTTATACCAAGGTGTAAGACCTCCAGTATTAGCTATAAACGTTTTTATCCATGCAAAGAACCTGATTGTGTGCAGCGGGGCACATTATTAAGTGTGAATAGTTTTGATGTGTGTAAATGGGGAACAGTAGAGATTTGGATTTCTCTTAAGGGCTCAGTGGTAACACTAAACTAGAATCTGATTTTAATGTTTAAATGCAGCATATTGCTGTACCCATTAGCAGAAAACTTTGCTGAGTACCTGTGTCCTAATTATTTTCATGCTGGTCATGACCTGAAGAAAATTTATTAGCACATGTACTTTAAGTCAGGTATTTTTAACTTGATCATGGTCAGCTCTGAGGTGCAACTTTTTCTTCATAATTGTACATATCTGTGACCACTCTTGGGAGTGCAGTCTTTAATCATGTTGTTTAAAAATGTTGTGATACAGGTTGTTCTCTACTTGTCCAAATAAAATTTATTAATAAGATTGAATACGTTGTGACCTTTTAAAGACATTAAAGAAAACATTTGAAATGACTTTGTCCTTCCTTTTCTAGTTATTACATGGATTCCTGTAAATATTTAAATTTGAAAGACTTTTTTTCAGAGATTTTAATGTAAAGCTTAAGTCTTTTATTTTAAAAAAATACAGCACAACACAGAAACACTTCTTTAAAATGGTTGAAACAATTTGGTAAGGAGTTCATAAATTACTCTTTATCAGAATCTCTTGACTCGTATTTGGGGCTCATTGGCTCTCCCATCACTCGTGCAGAATGACATATCAGCTGTGGGGAATCTGGACAGCCACCTGCATCCCGATTTTCAGGGACCGGGTTGATCGAAATTCCTTCATCTAGCTGAATAGAGTTGTGGCGTTGCTAAGAAATTTACTATCCTTGGATCTCTTTTCATAAAAAAGCTAACTTGAGTGACTCTAGAGATGACCTCTTCCCCTCTGTCTTTTATGGGACTTCTGCTTATAGCTGCTCTCTTCTCACCCACCATAGTGGAGACTGAGGTGGATGAAGCTTATTCTTCTGATGTAACAGAAATAGTTAATGCACCTTTTTAAAAGTTTTTGCAAAATGTTGGAATTATGGTACCTTATAAATCATATGGCTAGTACCTTGAAATGTAACCCCAAAGCAGGCGTGGTGGAAGTAGGAGTGTTAAGCTTGAAGTAGTTTCCACCATATACAGGATTTATCACAGTGGTGGGGAACCAGTGGCCCTGGGTCAGATCCAATCCCCAGCTTACTTTGATCCAGCCCGCAACAAATTTCCACATCATGGGCTGGAAGCCCTGAATGTGACATCCTTCTTGGGGCTGTAGTTAAATGTGAGTGAAGGTTGGGGTTTTTTTTCTTCCCACCTTGTGAGCAGATGAGTAGTGAAGGGGTTTATTTTGTTATTTAACTTGTGCGTGGCCTTTAACTGATTTTTCTGTGGGTCAATGTCCTCTCATCGAAAAAAGGTTCCCCACTCCTGTTTTACAATTTTAAGTGCCTTTCAACATTCCCACTAAAAAAGTTGTTCCAATGCCACTGCCCAAAAGAGAGCAGCATATGTTTCATCCTACCTGTCTTCTTGGGAGAGTCTTTTGTTGAAAAGATCGTTCCAGTTCTGGCTTTTGTAGTAAAATAGCTGCATGGATCTCTCCCAGATTCTAGAATCCTTCTTCCCTGATAGTGTGTATGTGACAGCAAGAGGCCTGCTGTCTGCTCTTAAGACTGACCCTGTGGTACCTTCAAGTACCAAGTCATCTGGATTGTCTTGAAGTTTGTGTCTCCTGAAGATGACATTGAGAGGAAAATGCAATAAACAGTCTGCTTATATTTTCAGAGTCTCTGTGGACTGGACAGTGGCACTCCTAACATCTTGTCTCGTGAATAGGCTATCATAAGTCTTGTACAAGTGCCAGATCTCTATTAGTTTACTTTGTGATATATAGCACAGAATGATACCAGGCTGTCTGAAAATACTATGAGCTCCTTGTTGATGGGCCATAGCTGTGATTTGGTGACAATACAGAGACTGAAGGGGAACGAGGGAGAAGGGTACTCTCCCAAGCTCTGCTTACAGATCAACATCTCCCAGTTAAGAAAAATGTCATGCCATCAAGTAGATTACGCAGTTTTTATATGATAATCCTTGCTTTTTTTCC